GAAATTTGAATTTGAGTCTACCATTTTTCCACTACATCGTGTTACTTTTGCAGAAACTTTTGGAAGTCTGACATGCTCCACTTAGCTTCTGTCTGTGAGAGTCTCAAATTCAGAGGCATTAGGAAATTCCATAACTCTATGGAGTGAAGCACTCCAAACAACAGTTTCGTGTTGATGGGGTAGTATGGCCCAATGAAGGCGCTGACTTCCTGTATCCTCTCTCTAGATTCCCTCTTCCCAGAGCTTTAAACTCTACTGCTCTGCTGATGGATAAATGAGCAATGTGAAGTTGTCTGACTCTGAATTGGATAGCTACAAGATAAATTTAAAACTTTTTTCTTTTCTGAGATCACAGATATATTAGAGAATTAAAATTGATTAATCATCCATAATTGAGTGCCAGGAAAGAGCTGCCTATACTGCTATTGCTCTTACATGTTTGGCCAAAAACAGGTGAGGTAAAAGGTATCAGCAAGTAAAGGAAAATGAAAGGGTCTAAATCCTAACATCTGAGACTGCGTCCTAAATTGGCCTCCCGTAGAGGTCCTCAGAGGACAGATGGTCTTGAAAGGCATGAGAAACACAAGTCTCTTTAAACCCATCTTGTAGAAAGTGCCACCACAGCCCAGGCATGGAAAATGAATGGGGCCTCATTGGGTCAGTGAGGAAGGCTATAGCATCTTACAAAGATGGATGAGATCCAGGCCACTGCCTAGCTCGATTACTTGTAGGATGATTTTCCTGAATTTTATGAAGACTGTTTGGTTGGTTGGTGCTGGACAGCATATGGGAGCAGGCTGAGGGTGCCAAAGTTCAACCAAGTGGACAATATTCTAGAAACTCACCTTCTGAAAAGCCTACATCAAGGGTCATAAACTGGAAGCCCAAGGGCAGAATTTGGCTCACAGATGTGTTTGGCACAGTGTTAGCTTACAGTGTTTTTTTTTTAATTTTTAATTTATTTCTTTTGTTTCCCCCAAAGCCCCAGTAGATAGTTCTATGTCATAGCTGCACATCCTTCTAGTTGCTGTATGTGGGACGCGGCCTCAGCATGGCCGGAGAAGCGGTGCGTCGGTGCACACCCGGGATCCGAACCCGGGCCGCCAGCAGCGGAGCGCGCGCACTCAACCGCTAAGCCACAGGGCCGGCCCTAGCTTACAGTGTTTTTAATATTGTTATCTTAATTGTTAATATTTAACATTGGAGAAATTTCATGTAAAAATCTTGATTTTTTTGCATGAGATATAATATAGAGAACCTTGACTGTACTGGTCATTGCTGTATCCCCAGAGCCTAGAACAATGCCTGGAACATAATAACTGTCAAATAAGTATTTTTTGAATTAGTGTTTTTCGAAAAACAGTCCTATGAAGTAGGAATTATTGTCATCATTTTACAGTGAATAAAAGAAATCTCAGAGAATTTAAGTAATTCACTTAAGGTCACATCTTGTGACAATCGATAACTAGCAGAATATTTGGACTCAGGTGTGTTTGACTTCAACACTGGTGTTCTGTCCACTATGCACACTGCCCAGCATCCTACACTGGTGGACCTTTCGTAGTCATGAAAGGCTTTCAATTTAGACTTTTTAAAAAAGCTTTATTGAGCTATAATGAACATACCATACAATTCACCCATTTAAAGTGTATGATAGAATTTTTTAATATATTCACGGGGTTGTGCAAGCATCACCACAGTCTAATTTTAGAACATATTCGTCCCCTCAAAAGAAACCCCATTAGTAGTCAGTTCCTATTCCCCTCTCCCACCCCCTCCCCCGTTCCCATCTCTCCCAGCCCTAAGCAACCACTAATCTACTTTCTGTCTGTATAAATTTGTCTATTCTGGAAATTTCATATAAATGAAATCATACAATATGTGGTCTTTTGTAACTGGCTTCTTTCACTTAGCCATAATGTTTTCAAGGTTCAGTCATGTTCTAGCATGTATCAGTACTTCATTTCTTTTTATTGACAAATAATATTTCAATGTATAGATACACCAAATTTTATTTATCCACCATCACTTGATGGACATTTGGGTTGTTTCCACTTCTTGGCTATTACAAATAATGCTGCTATGAACACTCATGTCAGTTCAGATTTTTGACATTATTTCGAAAGTAAGTCATTTTAATTTTTGTGTTATTTTTTGTTTTTGTTTTTTTGTGAGGAAGAGTAGCCCTGAGCTAACATCTGTTGCCAATCCTACTCTTTTTGCTGAGGAAGACTGGCCTTGGGCTAACATCCATGCCCTTCTTCCTCTACTTTCCATGGGACGCCGCCACAGCATGGCTTGACAAGGTGTGTCGGTGCATGCCCCAGATCCAAACCTGCGAACCCCTGGCCACCACAGCAGAGCATGCACACTTAACCACTACGCCATCGGGCCAGCCCTGTAATTTTTGTGTTAAAAGCACTAATTTAACTGTATACATTAAAAATCTACCATCTTTTTTAAAAATTCAGTTTTGATAACTTCATTTAAAAAAATATAGCTATAGTCTCAAAAAAGTCATAGTATCCAGCTCATTCTTACCTTCTGAGAGGCTCTGATGCTGCCTCTAACAAATGAGACCATCTTATCCAACTAGGCAACAAATTCCTCAAAGTTAGAAAAACTGTTATACTTCCTGATATATCCATGATGACTAAATAATACATGTATTTGGTAAATATTCGCTGACAATATAGATCATCAAGAAATGATGGGGTAGGGCGGGAGGATCAAGTGATAACCAATAGGAGGTTGTGGGAGGAGAGAGAGTAAATTCTAACACAGATGCATTCCTTCTGACCCAAAACCCCCACATTGCTGTTGGTCTGGCCAAGGAGATTTCTGTTGATGTAGTTCACTAATGGATGCTAACTTAGATGGAATGTGTCCACTAATAAAGACATGAATCTTAGTTGAAGAATGGAAATTTTCCCTAGATCTTGACCAAGAGAAGGTCAGCACGATGTTTCTCCCACATGTTGGGCCAAACAGAAACTTCCTTTTCTGGCAGGATAGGGAGCAACCACTCATCTAACAAAGCAGTGGAATTAATGAATGTCTGTGGCAGAAGAAAAGGAGAGGAAAGATGAAAAGAGGAGCGATGGAAAGGAAACAGCTGAGACATTCTTTATGAGAAGAGAATCTCCTACAAATGCCTCAATCAGGAAGGACAGGTAAGGCCCTTTATAAAGGATGTGGGGAACTCTTGGAGTATTTTGTCATTGTAACATTTTGTTAATATGAATAGATAAGCAAAAGCATGAGGGTAAGGAGAATGGACGGCCAGCAAGTTAACCAATTAGGAAAGAAGAGAGGAAAAAGGAGCTGTCATAGACCCCTGCCAAGCCCATTCCTTCCTCCAGTCTTTTCTCCTGTCCTTCCCTTCACCTGGAAGGTCCTCCCTCCTCTCCTCTGCCTAAGTCTCCTGCAGTCTCAGATCCAAGCAAGTTTGGTGTCTCCATGACTACTCTGGTGCCCCCCTCTGCTGGACGCCTACAGCACATTTTCTTTATGCCACACAATTCCTACTAGATTACGCATATTGTCTTTGAAAGGTTCTTATATATGTGTCTTATAAAGACCCTTGTAAACTCCTCGAGGACAAGGGCTATTTCTTCTGCTGCTGTATCTCCCACAGTGCCGACGGCCTAATAGACCCTCTGTTTGGCCTCACTGACTGACTGACTGACTGAAGAGTTCAGTTCGGCTTCCTTTTCTTGCCAGCAATGCCGAGTACACAATACAGTCCTTTCACTATGAAATGACAAAGTCAAAGATAGAGGGGCCGAGAAAGTACTTGTACAGAACTATTTATTGTCTCAAATGCCTCATGGCAGCCAGATTCCAGAATTCTCAGGTTTGATAGATGTGGATATAACTTTGATATATGTAGTGGTGCTTTTCGAATTAGTATTTTACTTGGATTGAATGTGTAAATTAATAAATAAAAACATGGGTTACACGAGTCAAGAAAAGAGATTTTCTGTTATGCAGTTAACTGATATCCTCCAACGTTCTTTTTTCCCCCATGTTCCACAGCTGCTAGGCATTCATAGTGGAAATTATTGCCTTTTCTATTTCTGATGATAACAATGCCATCAGAAGAGAGGATGTGATTAATGGAAGAAAAAGGGAGAGAGAGATTCACATTGCCTTTATTTTCATCACCGAATGTCCCAAAGCTTTTTAGGGTGTAAAGAGCAATCAATATTTAGGAAAGAAAGCTGGATTCACACTACTTGGAATTCTGGGTCTCTCCTCTTCTATGGCAATTTTTTGAGTATCATGTGCTTTTACAGAATCCCATCTTATGATACGGATACAGTTTGCAACTCTTCCCCGATGCCTAAATCTTCTCAGCATTAAGTATATGGAGGCTCATGAGAATTGCTAATCGGCCTTGTGACACTGCAGAGATGCTTCCCAGGGATCTAAAAGGGTTCACACCCACCCACGAAGTATGAGGGGGGAAATGATTGTGCTGGTTTGGTTTTCTTGTAACAGCCTAGTGACATGGCTTCCTCATTGCCCCGTGGGCTGCAGTTAAAGAAGCTGCTCTAGAACAAGACTAGACTTGTGGGCAAAAAAAATCACCTAAACTGTTCCTTTCCTAGACCAATGGGATTCCAGTTTGGATTTCAGAGGGCTTTTTGTATAGCTTGCAAAAGATTCTGGGTCTTTCAAAATTTATAATCTAGTAAAATTTGGAGTTCTGAGCTATATTTAGTATATGACCTTTCCAGGGTATGGAAAAATATGCTCTATCATCTAATGTGATGTCAGCTTTCTTTAACCCTTTGTGTAAATGGTGCACGTTAAAAAACTAGGTCTACTGTTAAATAATTTTTTTTTTTATAATGAGAAAGAGATTACACAACATCAATTAAAGAGACAGAATGTGACTGGGTCCACTGCTGGCTGTGTCTTGGAGCGGAGAAGGGTTCATCCTAGAAATGATCACTTTTCCTTCCAGGTGAAGAGGACGTGACCCTGGAAAAAATTTCTGTGAGTATTTACCCAGCTAGAGATCTGGGTTGTCAGATCCAAATGGTCCCATTGCAATCCCTTTTTCCCAGGTGGTGCGTAGATCTCTGACAAGTGATGAGTGACCTCTGCTTCTTGTGTTTAGGCCCAGGACTGGACTCTGTGACCAGGGATTTGGTGTGGGGGGCCTCAGAGGCTGCAAAGAAATATAAATACATGAATGCATATGCCAAACATGTGGGCTCATGGGAAAGGTAGATCCAAAAAGAAAACCTCTTCAGCCATGGTTTATCAGAATAGCTCTATGAACTACCATACTAAATTAGAAAATAGAATCTATGAGTTCAAGACCTGCCTCCCTTGACCCCAGTCAGAAGCCTAATGTGGAGAATATGCCTAAATTGTCCATCCAAGAAGACTTGAGCATCTGCATGGTGATCTTTGGGGTTAGCCTCTGTTTTGTGTCTTTATTGTTACGCAGAAGTAGCAGCAACCATGGGACACTCTTGCAGCTATGACTAAAGAGTCTTATTCCTGGGATGTGCTGAGGAGGTGGATTCACACAGAGTGAACAGCCCCCAGGGATACAGCATTGCTCTATTTCAACCCTGTAAACCAATGTAGTGATGACCAGGGTTGAGCTTCTACCTAGGCTAAAGCACCCCCAGGAGTCTAAGTAGTTCTCATATCAATCAAGTTTCTGTATGACTTCAGGGAATACTAAGAGGGATATCCTCATTCCCAAGTGAATTCTTAGCTTAGGATAAAAGTACAAATGGAAGCCCATTTACCATATGTCTAAATATTTAAATGTTTTAAATCAAGCTAACAAACAGTTAAGTAAAATACATTCTATCACCTACCTTGACAACGAGACCAGGCTTGAATTTGGAATTTTTAGATTCTTTGGAGTTCTTTACCAGAACACGGTAGCGCAGGAAAGCTGACCTGCAGTCCACCTGTCTCTTTCTCTTCCCAGCTCCATGCCACACTGTGAGGACCTCACACATACACACGTGGAAACTTCAGACTGCATATCCAAGCTCTATTCACACACCCCTGCACACAACCACCTGTTGGCCACTCCTTGAATCTGAGGGTACACACACTTGCAATGCTGGCCATTCTTGGGAAGACAGATCAGTCCACTCAAGCCCTAAAAATGAGCAGGAAATTCCAGCGTCCTGGGTACCCAGTGTGTGTGATCTATAAGGCTGGGTGTGGGCTCTAGCAGGGCATGCCCATTTGGCTGCATGGACTCCTTGTCATACGGGGAAGCATGTGGCCAGAGGTCAGAGCTGAGCCCTCCAAGGCTGAGGTCCCAGAGCAGGGGCCCCGCCTGCTCCAGTGTGTCACTGGTTAGGTTATTTCTAGCCATCCTGACATAAAATTACCTCGCAGAAAATCTCCTACCCCTCACAGTGCCCACCAAACTGGTCATGTGACATGAGTATGCAGGGCCATAGGTTGATAAGAATATGTCCTATGGTGCCCAACATTGAAGTGTGTTGGTAATAGAGGAAAAACAAGGTTTGAAATGTACAGGGCCAGGGCCAGCCCCGTGGCTTAGCGGTTGGGTGTGCGCACTCCGCTGCTGGCAGCCCGGGTTCGGATCCCGGGCGCGCACCGACGCGCCGCTTCTCCGGCCATGCTGAGGCCGCGTCCCACATGCAGCAACTAGAAGGATGTGCAGCTGTGACATAAAACTATCTACTGGGGCTTTGGGGTAAAAAGATAAAAAAAAAAAAAAAAAATAAAAAAAAAAAAAAAAGAAATGTACAGGGCCAGAAGCTAGTTTATGGGAAAGTAAATTCTTCTAATCGTCACGTATATACAATTATAAAAGAAGGATTTAGTTCTTACTAATGCTTAGTCAAAAAAGTTCTCTCCTGATAATGCAGTACTATAAATGCACCATAGATTTTTCTTTTTTGATAGGAATCAAGCAAAATAGAATATATCAGAATTGTATATTTGTAGACGACAAACCTGTAGTGGTACTACAAACAGTGAGTTTGTAGTATATATATCTTCCTCTTTTGTTAAATAAACAGGAAAATTTTTATTATGCTGTCTAATGAATTTAATGGGATTATTTCTGATTTTTATACTTAATTATTCTTTAATTAATCTCAAAAGCCTAATATAATATAAGAGGCTTGATATATAAGAGTTTGATATATGCCTTCTCATATATTTGTAGAAAGAATACCATGCCTCCTATGGTATTTCTTATTTCACAAATAACTTTTAATTTCAGCTACAATTATATTGCATTATTGCTAGTTAAGTAATAAGAAGCAACATATTATTTATTATCTTGTTTTTCATTACTTTAAAAAATATATAAATCAATTATAGTGGACCATATCATTTTAATTTTGACTTTCAAGATGTATTCTTCTATTTATCAATTATTTTTATTATATTCTTTGAATTTTATACTTGAAATGAAAAACTAAGTCATGATAAAAAGTAAGTCTGACCTGCACACAAATGTTTGTAGCAGCTTTACTCATAATCACCAAGAACTAGAAGCAACCAAGATGTGCTTCAGTAGGTGAATGGAAAACCAAACTGTAGTACATCCATCCAGTGGACTATTATTCAGAGACAAAAAGAAATGAGCTATCAAGCCACAAAAAGACATGGGTGAGCCTCTTAAATGCATATCGCTAAGTGAAAGAAACCAGCCTGAATAGGCTACATAATGTATGGTTTCAATTATATGACAGTCTTGAAATGGCAAAACCATAGAGATAATAAAAAGATCAGTGATTGTCAGATGTTTGAGAGGAAAAAGGGAGGATGTAACAGGTGAAGCACAGGAGATTTTTAGGGTGGTTAAAAAATGATACAGAAATGGTAGATACATGGCATTATGCATTTGTCAAAACCCATAGAACTATACAGCACAGAGAGCGAATCTTAATGTATGCAAATTAAAAAAAATCATTTCAGAGGTCAGGGGATCCCAAGAAGGAATGCAGACAAAAGAATATAACTGTAACCTCAATGTAAATACATATTTTTGTCACAGATAATGTGATGATGATGAAAAATATTTTCAGGGGCCAGCCCCGTGGCTTAGTGGTTAAGTGCGCACGCTCCGCTGCTAGCGGCCTGGGTTCAGATCCCGGGCGCGCACCGACGCACCGCTTCTCAAGCCATGCTGAGGCCGTGTCCCACGTACAGCAACTAGAAGGATGTGAAACTATGATGTACAACTATCTACTGGGGCTTTGGGGGAAAATAAATAAATAAATAAAAATTATAAAAAAAAATATTTTCAAGTGTAAACATATAGTATATTAGAATAAAATTCTGGGTGGAAGTTATTTCAAAATGGAAATATGTTTAAAAAAGATATTAAATTTTCAACTTTAAAGAAGAGCTTGCTTATTTTATTATTTTTTTTAATGGATAATGGTAGGTATCAAGCTGTTATGGTATTTAGATTCAATTGGGTGCATTTAAAAGAGCGACGTAACAGTTTAAATTTAAAATATCAGTATGTAAATGCCAGAATGTGTAGACGTTAGACATTAGACCCTTTGCATCTATATAAACTTAAAATGAAAACATTTTATATGTCAATTTAAAAAGATGAAAAGGTGACATAGCTTTTCAAAGATGAAGAGGTGACAAAATGAAGAGGTGACATAGCTTTTTTAGAGGGTACAGAAGCAAAACAGTTGGAAGGTCAACGTCCTAGACAGCATCTTTCATGAAGTATAGGAGAACTTGGCTGACTTTTTCTGTAAAGGGCCAGATAGTAAATATTTTAGGCTTTGAGGGCCAGAGAGTCTGTTTCAAAACTAATCAACTCTGCTGTTGTAGCATGAAAGTAGCCACAGACACTTTGTAATGAACGAGTGTGGGTGTGTTCCAATAAAATTTTATTTGTGGGCACTGACATTTGAGTTTTGTGTAAATTTTATGTCACAAAATATTATTCTTCTTTTGACCTTTTCTCAGCCATTTAAAAAGATAAAAATCATTCTTAGTCCACAGGGGTATAAAAACAGGAGGCAGGCTGGATTTGGCCTGAGGGCTGTAATTTGTTAACCCCTGATTTGTAGTAATTTGGTAAAATAGTCTTACAAATTGGTAGGAGTCAGTATTGTGAAAGTTAGACTGTAATCTGTCTCACATTTGCCAAAGCAAAGGCCTATATCCTTGAGGCCTTAAGCAAAATAATTCAGAGATGTATAAGGTAAAACATGAAAATTCTTCTATTGCCAATAATTCCATTCCCCAGAGGCAACCTCTATCTTCAGTTTGGTATATATCTTTCCAGATATTCAACTGTGCAGACACATACACACAAACAACATATATGGTTTTAAAGAAATCATATATAAACATATATGGGGTGTGTTTTTTTTAACAAAAAATGGGACAACATATATATTGTTCTGCAATTTGATTTTTCAATTTATGATACCTTTTAAACATCTTTCCTTGTCATTATTTTTAATAATTGCCTATTAATAAGCATTTGAGTCATTTCCAATTTTGAAATTGTAAGCAATGAGCATCTGTGTATATACATATCTTTGTAACATGGGTGAATATTTTTACAGGTTAGATTTCTAGAAGTAGAATTACTGGGTCAAAGATATTCAAATTTTTATATTGATGAAGTCATCCAAAAGCTTAATACTAGGGTTTCTCAATCTTGATACTATTGACATTTGAGGTTGGACAATTCTTTGTTGTGGGGCTGTACTGTACATTATAAAATGTTTAGCAGCATCTCTGGCCTCTACCTATTAGATGCCAATAGCATCTTTCCTATTGTGACAACCAAAAAGGTCTCTAGACATTGCCAAACGTCCCCTGGGGGCAAAATCACTTTAGATTGAGAACCACTGTCCTGGACAATTTCTTTTCCTTTTATTTCTCTTTCTCCCACTTCTTTCAACAACTTCTTAGGTTATCCTTCCTTCACAAAGGAAAGGTACTTAAAGGAACTTGTGATTTAGTATATATCACCTGTGAGATAATAGAAAATATATATATTAGTCTCTGCTCCCTGTTCCTGGCACAGAGCTCCTGAAACTCTTAATTTCCCAAGTGATAAGAGCACTAGGAGCATCTCTTGTCCTAATATTTGTCTTTGGGTCCATCCCTGACACAGGGCTCCTAAAGCCTTTGTAAATTCATAAGTGGTAAGAGCACTAGGAGTATCTT